CAGTCCATCCACAATGAATTTGTACACAGCTTGTTCGTTCAAATAACAACGTACATCGTACACGACATATTGTCCACAAAGCTCTATTCACATAACACAATTTTAATTTTATAAACATTTAAAATATTAAAATAAATATATATATATATATATATATGTGGATCCAAAACATAGAAGAAGAAAATTTACATTTTGTTATACCAATCCCGTTTCACAAATCAATCTCGTTTTGGTCAAAGGGTATTTTTGACAAATTATCCAATAGGACCCACAAGAAAGTGTGCTACAAGTAGAATGTGTCTCTAGATGTAAGAGAAAGACAAAATGTGTCTAAATATGTAATCAACTCATGAATGATAGGAGAAGAAAATATCTAAGGCTATAACACGTGGTGTGTCTTGCCATTTCATGACCAGCACTAACTTTTATATAATTTACCCATAACCAAAACAATTTTTGTACTATAGTTTTAAAAAATTCAAATGGTACCAAGATTACACAACTGACGTGGGCACTCTCAGCCACGTAATATTCTTCCCGAGATATTCGTTTAATTCAAAAATATATCAAAAAACCAACCATATTATAAAGATAAGGAGGAGTCGATGAGGATAACAAACAAGCCGCAGCAAGCGAGAGAGCAAATAGCGATTCGGATTCAATGGCGGAAGAGACGGAGAAGAAGAAGTACATTACTCACGACGATCTCAAAACCCACAACAAACCTGGAGATCTATGGATCGCAATCCAAGGCAAAGTCTACAACGTCTCCGATTGGATCAAATCCCACCCCGGAGGGGACACAATAATCCTCAATCTCGTCGGTCAAGATGTAACCGACGCGTTCATCGCGTTCCACCCCGGAACGGCGTGGAACCGTCTCGATAGCCTCTTCACGGGCTACCACATCGGAGACTACCAAGTCTCCGAGGTCTCCCGCGATTACCGCCGAATGGCCATGGAGTTTCGAAGACTCGGACTATTCGAATCCAAAGGACACAACACTCTCTACACCTTAATCTTCATAGCCGCCATGTTCGCGGGAGTCCTGTACGGCGTTCTGGCGTGCGACTCGATCATCGCACGCCAGATCGCCGCGGGCCTGCTCGGCCTCCTCTGGATCCAGAGCGCGTACATAGGCCACGACTCTGGACACTACAACATCATGACTACCAACAAGTGTAACAGAATCGCCCAGCTGATCGCTGGTAACTGCTTAACTGGAATATCAATCGCCTGGTGGAAATGGACTCACAACGCGCATCACCTCGCGTGTAACAGCCTCGATTACGACCCCGATCTTCAGCACATCCCAGTCTTCGCAGTCTCGACAAAGTTCTTCAACTCGATGACGTCACGATTCTACGACCGGAAGCTCACTTTCGACCCCGTGGCGAGGCTTTTGATCAGCTACCAGCATTTCACTTACTACCCGGTCATGTGTTTCGGAAGGATCAATCTCTTTATCCAGACTTTCCTCCTCCTCTTCTCGCGACGCGAGGTGGAAGATCGTGCCCTCAACTTCGCGGGGATATTGGTGTTCTGGACGTGGTTTCCGCTTTTGGTTTCTTGTCTAC